AAGTTTATGTATTCCTATGAGATAGAAAGAGAGTGTTAGACTCCCAAAAGGGTCTTCATGCCGTGATCCACCCCCAGCCTTGGCTAGCTGGGAACACATGTGTGCCCAGCATGTATAGGAAGGCCCAGGGATGGGAACCCAGGACTGTTCCATGGTGGTCTGATTGTATTACTGCTGTGTCACCTCCTGGCCCCCGCATTTGTCTTTTCTCCAGAACGTGAACACAATGTTGGGGCTTTCTTCCAAACTCAGAAAACTGGTGTGTGTTGAACCACTCCCGGCCACTCAGAAATAGCTCTGTAATCTTTAGCTTCCAGCAGGAGAGAAGGAAAGGACTGGCCAGATTGAATGACCTGTGGGTCCCACAGCCTCTGGTTACACAGAAATCGCCCCTGTCCCCCTCCTCTGGCTTCAATCCCTCTGGACTGGTCTCAATTCTCATCTCTTCTTCCCTCTTTCCTCTCTGGCTTCGTTTTTACCTCTTTTTTTTTTGGAGAGGTTTTTGCTACAGGGTGTGTGTGCTCACCAGAAAGACAGAGACAGAGAGACAGAAAGCGAGAAATCACCCCACAGGGGGAAGGCCACGCTGCAATCCCTTCTCCTCTATTCTCCTCTCAGGATTGGGGCATGCATGCACATGTGCCCCGCGTGAGTTTAAGCCACTGGGTTTGGCTCTCAAACCGCCGAGGACTTCACTCATGAGAGTCCAGCGACATAGCCATTACCCCAACTGCTGGTCCCTGTTTTTACCTCTTTTTGTGACTCTTCATGTGAGGAAACCTTTAAACAGTTCATAGAAAATGCGCATGAAAACTACACACAGATTTCAATATTTTTGCATTGAAATAGATTTGTATTCTAACTCCATTTTTCTGTGCATTTTTTGAAGTCTCTCTTTTGATTAAAGTGGTGTCTTAAAAGCATGTAATATTTAGTTGCTGGGTTTGCATTAGTAAAGAGTGACAACGAACACAACATAATGATTCAGTTTAGGGCTCTGGGGTTATATTCAGGTTTTGGCTTTAATACTTAAATGTTGCTTGACTTTGAGCAAATCACTCAATCTCCCTGTGCCTTTCTTTCCCCATATGTAAATTGGCGATAATGGTTCCTACCTCAAAAGGTTTTTAAAAAATATTTCTAAGAATTTGTCTATTTAACTTTATTATTATTTTAATTTGACCAGGAAGAGAGAGCGCGCGTGCACGCAGCAAAATTGCCAGGTCTGGGACTTGAACCGTGGTTGGCCATGTGGGAGTCCAGCGTCTTTACCCATCACTCCATCTGCTGGCCCCTTTACCTCAAAAGGTTTTTAAAATGAGAGAAGATGCATTTAAGTCATCTGAAGAATGCTTGGCACGTTGGCTTCAAGAACTCTTAGCTCTTACTATTTAGGAAGGATTTACTAATACATAAAGTATGTGGGCACCTTACAAAGGAAATGTCCTTCAGCCTTCCTTTACTGAAGGATCCTGAGAGTAAGAACCTTCACTGAAACTACTGGGGCAAGAAATGCAATAGTCGGGCGCATGCCTCACAGAGGTGTTTCAGAGTGGACGGGATCTTGTGATAACAAGCTGGACACGGAAAAGCTCAGGCGAGGCCGAGCAGTCCTGAGCAGAGGCTGCTGAGGGGCCGTAAGATTATCCCGAGTGGCAGGTGGACAGCCTAGGGAGAGGCGAGAGGAGGGGTCCTGGGCGCGTCGGGAAGGCTTTGCAAACAGCGTTCGCTGGGTGTAAGGGGCCAGGACGGGCTGCGGCGGGCCTCTGCAGCCCGCGGGAAGGATGCGCGGCCCCGGACCGCGTCCGTTTTGTCAGCTCTTCCCTGGAGGCGCCGATCCCAGGCTTTCCTGAGCTTCGGCTGAGCCGCGGCGCCCACGCCACTCTCGGGGGCCTCGACGTCCACTCAGACCAAGCCCGGGGAGGAGCCCCCCCCCCGG